TTTTTTTTTTTTTTTTTTTTTGGTAACGATGTGCTAAAATCTCTCCTGCAAACCGGTAAGTACAACCTTTCTGGATCCCTTTGTTTCCGCCTAGGGTCAAAGACACCCCCCTCTTCCAAAAAGAAGATATAATAATCCTCTTTATTTATTTTTTTAATTTTTATTACAGTCCTTGCAGAAGAGAAAGAACTTAAGTGGCTAATATTTTGCAAAGGAGACTGAGAGATTGATACTGCAATATAGCTCTCGTCTCTCTCCCTTCTCCCCAATTAGATGCTGGTTTTAATTGCAGAGGGTATTTCTCTTTTCGTGCTTTCAACCATCTCCTCTTTCCCACAGGGGAGGGTTTCATTTGCAAGTTGATCCTAAGGATTTCTGTTCCTCTGGCATTTCTCTCCCCTAAATGCATCTTTCTGCTCTTAAGTTTGCGGATGGGGGGCGATTTTTTCTAGTTCTTACACGAGGAAGGCAAAAAGGACCTTTTTATTGGGAGATTGAGACTAGAAGCAATGATCGCTCCGAATCATTCTAATGGGCATTTCAGGGATTCAAGGAAGGCTGCATCACCACTGGTATTATTCCCATCCTTAGCATTTCCCTGTGCCCATACATTTAAAATATCTGGTGAAAGGAAGGGTGAAACCATATGTTGAAGGAGCTGCATCTCATTAGGGCAGTATTATTTTCATCTGATTGGAGAAGAATGGTGTCTTCATTCGCAATCGTGTATAGTAGGATAGAGAATTTATCGGCTGGTAAGTGTCAAGGTATTTTTTTTTCTTCCACTTTCAGCTTTTTAACCGGGTCTCCTGCTTGGTCCTGGGGGCACAAAATGCCCTAATCCAAGGCAGGCTGAGCGTTTCAATCCTAGGTGCCTCTTCAGCTGTCACTTCCCTTTAGATCTGCTGATCGCATGGGCATGTGCTTTAGAAAGATTAATCATCTCTAAATGCTTTAATCAGCTAAAATGACTAATATGTGGCGTGTATTTATCTGATAATATACCAGTTGCATTAATTCACCGGCGCATTTGCGAGGGGAAGATTTCCTTCCCAATCAGGGTGGTTAACCATTTACTCCGGTGAAGATACTGTGGGGATTTCTGAGGGGAGCCGTTCTGCCAGGGACATCGGCAAACCTCGCACATTCCGTGGAACTCGCGTGTGGAATGCATCGAGCCGGGAGGGAGGGAGGGAGGGAGATTCGAGGGTGCAGGTTCAATAACTTTGGGAGTTTGCATGGATGAAGGATGTGGTGCGACACTGGAGGAATCTGCCCACTTGGTGTGTTTCCCCCCCACCCCGGAGTCGAGGCGGGCTGTGATGGCTCCTGGGCTAAAATTGCAGCCGGGGATGAGATCCAGGCAGTTCCGAAGCCTGGGAAACGTGGAGAGACGCAACACGTTCGGTGTGCTCGTGGTTCTGTGTGGGGCTGCATGTGCTGTCCTCTTTATAGGTGGCATTCACCACGGGGAGGGGAGCAAGGCAGGCTGCTATCGCGTGATGGAGCCGTCTAACATCTCCCAAGTATAAATGAGGGCAAGGCTCGCCCAGCCGACACCCCTGGAGTTGGTTGGGAACGTCTGCCCAACAACTGCTGAACTTTCCAGGAGCCCGACATGAGGCCAGCAGGTAGGGGCTTAGGAAAAGGAGAGGGGCAGGGCAGAAATACTGAAATCTGTGTTTCTCTTCCCCTTGCAGTTTTGTAAACATCAACAAATGATGAAACCTTCCACAGCAGAGACACTTCATAAAGGAAGGATGTTGTGGATAATTCTTCTAAGCACAATTGCTCTAGCATGGACTACACCTATTCCCTTGATAGAGGACTCGGAGGAACTGGATGAGCCCTGCTTTGATCCATGTTACTGTGAAGTGAAGGAGAGCCTTTTCCATATACATTGTGACAACAAGGGATTTATAAATATTAGTCAGATAACAGAGTCGTGGTCGAGACCTTTTAAACTTTATCTGCAGAGGAATTCCATGAGGAAGTTGTACACCAACAGTTTTCTCCACTTGAACAATGCTGTATCTATTAACCTTGGGAACAATGCACTGCAGGACATTCAGACGGGGGCTTTTAATGGGCTCCGAGTTCTGAAGAGGTTGTATTTGCACGAAAACAAATTGGACATTTTCAGGAACGACACTTTCCTGGGTTTGGAAAGTCTGGAATATCTGCAGGCAGATTACAATGTCATTAAACGGATTGAAAGTGGGGCATTTCGAAACCTAAGTAAATTGAGGGTCCTTATCCTAAATGACAATCTTATCCCCATGCTTCCCACCAATTTATTTAAGTCTGTGTCCTTAACCCACTTGGACTTGCGGGGGAACCGCCTCAAAGTCCTTTCGTACCGTGGGATGTTGGACCACATTGGCAGGAGCCTGATGGAGATCCAGCTGGAGGAGAACCCGTGGAACTGTACGTGTGAGATCGTGCAGCTCAAGAGCTGGCTGGAGCGCATCCCCTACACTGCTCTGGTGGGGGACATCACCTGCGAGACACCCTTCCACTTCCACGGGAAGGACCTGAGGGAAATCAAAAGAAGCAAGCTCTGCCCCATGCTGTCCGACTCCGAGGTGGAAGCCAGCCTGGGCATCCCTCAGCTGTCCTCCAGCAAGGAGAACGCGTGGCCTACGAAGCCTTCCTCCATGCTGTCCTCCTTCCATTTCACCGCTTCCTCTGTTGAGTACAAAACGTCCAACAAGCAGCCCAAGCCCACCAAGCAGCCCCGGGCGCCCCGGCCTCCCCCGACCCCCCGTGGCCTGTACCCCGGGCCCAACCAACCGCCCGTGGCTGCCTACCAGACCCGGCCCCCCATCCCCATCATCTGCCCCACCGGCTGCTCTTGCAATTTGCACATCAACGACCTGGGCCTGACGGTCAACTGCAAGGAGAGGGGGTTCCACAACATCTCCGAGCTCCTGCCCAGGCCCTTGAACGCCAAGAAGCTGTACCTGAGCGGGAATTTGATCCAGAAAATCTACCGCTCCGATTTCTGGAATTTTTCCTCCTTGGATCTCTTACACCTGGGGAACAACCGGATCTCCTACGTGCAGGACGGGGCGTTCATCAACCTGCCGAACCTCAAGACCCTGTACCTGAACGGGAACGACATCGAGCGGCTCACCCCGGGCATGTTCCGGGGCCTGCAGAGTTTGCATTACCTGTACTTCGAGTACAACCTGATCAGGGAAATCCAGCCGGCGGCCTTCAGCCTCATGCCCAACCTGGAGCTCCTCTTCGTCAACAACAACCTGCTCCGCACGCTGCCCACCGACGCCTTCGCCGGCACCTCCCTGACGCGCCTCAACCTGCGCAAAAACCACTTCCTGGCGCTGCCGGTGGCCGGGGTGCTGGAGCACCTGCACGCCATCGTGCAGATCGACCTGACCCTCAACCCTTGGGACTGCACCTGCGAGCTGGTGCCGCTCAAGCAGTGGCTGGAGGCGCTCAGCTCCGTCAGCGTGGTGGGCGAGGTGCTGTGCTTCAGCCCCGAGCCGCTGGCCCACCGCGACCTGCGCTCGCTGGAACTGGCCGCTCTGTGCCCCGCCGCCCTGCGCCCCGCCGCCGCCTCGCCCCCCGCCGCCGCCGCCCCGCCGCCGCCCGCCGCCACCGGCGCGGCCGCCTACGAGCTGCCCCCGGCCGCCGCGGCCGCGGCCGTGCCGCTCTCCGTGCTCATCCTCAGCCTCCTCGTCCTTTTCTTCTCCGCCGTGCTGGTGGCCGCCGGGCTCTTCGCCTTCGTGCTGCGCCGCCGCCGGCGGAAGCTGCCGTTCCGCGGCCCGCGGGCGGAGGCGGCGGACCTGGGCGCGGTGCCGCTGCGCTGCCCGCGGCTCTTCCCCGAGGGCGGCGGCGGCGGCGGAGGGGGCGGCGGCGGCGGCGGGGGGGGCCCCGGGGAGCGGTCCCCGGAGAAAGCGCCCCCGGCGGGCCACGTCTACGACTACATCCCGCACCCGGTGACCCAGATGTGCAACAACCCCATCTACAAGCCGCGGGAGGAGGAGGAGGCAGCGGGCGGGGGCGGCGAGGCGGCCGAGCTGCTGCGGGGCGGCGGCGGCGGCGAGCGCGGCTTCGGTCACCCCGCTGCCCCCGCGGGCGCGCCGGAACCGGGCAGCAGCTACCGCACCTTGCTGGAGAAGGAGCAGGAGTGGAGCCTGGCCGTGTCCAGCTCGCAGCTCAACACCATCGTGGCCGTGCACCCCCAGCACCCCGCGGGCGGAGGGCTGGCGGCGGGCGCGCTCGGGGCGGCGGCGGCGGGGGGAGCCCCGCGGGACCGCGACCGCCCGCCGCCCTGCGCCGTGGGGTTCGTGGACTGCCTGTACGGCACCGTGCCCAAGCTGAAGGAACTGCACGTCCACCCCCCCGGCATGCAATACCCGGACCTGCAGCAGGACGCCAGGCTGAAGGAGACCCTGCTCTTCGCGGCCGGCAAGGGCTTCCCGGACCACCAAACCCCCACAAGCGAATACCTCGAGTTAAGGGCCAAACTCCAAACCAAGCCGGATTACCTCGAAGTCCTGGAGAAGACCACGTACCGGTTCTGACCGCCGCCCCGCCGCCCGCCCGGCCCCGCCGCCCGCGAGCAGAGGATACAGCTGTGCGCTCTGCCCCGCCAGATGTGCGCGCTGCGGGGCAGGGCCCTTCTCAGATCAGTAATCGACGAAGTGCCTTCGCAGACTTTTGCCAGCAGATGTTAATCAATCATTATTTTTTATACTGAAACTGAGACTTTGACTGTGCCATGTCTAAAGGTATATTATTATATTATTATTATTATTATTATTATCGGGGATCTTTGTATTGATCCTGATTAAGTAAATTCTATGTGTGTCTCTTTCTCTCTTTTTTTTTTCTTTTCCCTTTTCTTTTATTTTCTTTATACTTGTTTGTTTTGTTCGTTGGCTCTTTTTTTTCTTTTTTCCTTTTTCTTTTTCTTTTTTTTTTTTTTTTTCCTTTGGCAGTGAACTTCCTTGATATTTTCCCTTGGAGGGGAGGGGGAGGGAAGATGGCATTTTCTGGCCTGCTTTCTTCTTGCCCATCATGGCACAGATTCTGTACATTTATTTAAAAGAGAAAAAAAAATAATAATGCAAAGAAGCAAACGAGCGCAGTTTGCTGCATGCCTGGAAACTGCAAGAGGGAAGGGAGGGGAGGGTCTTGCTCGAATGTCTCACTCTTGTCTCTCTCCCTCCCTCGCACGCACACTCGTCACCCTCACCCTCCGCTCACCCCCCGCCAGCCCAGCCCCTCCAAGGGGCTCGGGGGCCGCGGGGGGAATCCCGGGGGCAATCCCGGGGGCTGGGGGAAGCCACCCGGAGCCGAGCAGCCCAAAGGATGTCACCACGTGGCGCGCACACCTAGGGGATGCTCAGTGACACTTCATCATGACGCCATGGTTTTTTGGAGGACATCCGCACTTTCCTAATAAAAGCGACATGCAAATATACAGAGAAAAAAAAAAAAAAAAAAA